TCATAATTGTCAATGGTCTTCCTGATGAATACAGTGCATTCAAGACCATAATCCGAGCAAGATCAGATCCAATTTCCATAGAGTCCTTGTGCTCTTTACTTTGTTCTGAAGAGATTCATGTTGAACATGTTCTTAAGCATACTCATGCCTCTGGAATTCCATTTGCTTATATAGCCACTAGTGGTCACAGATCTGCTCCTTCCAATTCTAGGTCTTCTGGAAGCACTTCTGCTCTTACTAATTCTGGAGGAGGTCGAGGCTATAGAGGCAATTTCAACAGAAATGGGAGCCGATTTTATAGAGGTTCTCGAAGAGGAGGAAGGCTTTCTGGTTTTCAGCAGTCTCAGCAGTCTTATCAACATGCTTCACAACATGCTCCTCCTTCTTCCTCATCTGCTGTTATCTGTCAGATTTGTGGCAAAATGAATCATTCTGCCGTGTTGGTACAGAATGGATAATTCTTTTCAGTCTCAGTCTCGTTCTACTCCTAAAGCTTATGCTGCTTCTGCATCACCACCTTCACCACAAGCTACCTGGTACATTGATTCCGCAGCCTCTGATCACATTACTAATGATCTGACTAATTTCTCTTTACATGAGCCCTATCATGGTCCAGATCAAGTCACTATTGAAGATGGTTCCTCACTTCCTATTCACAATACAGGTAAAGGTATTCTGCCAACACCTTCTCCTCTCCTTAACAAAATTCTCCATGTGCCTTCCATTGCTTCTAATTTGCTCTCTGTTCACCAACTCACTTCTGACAACAACTGTTCTATTACTTTTGATGCTAATACCTTTACTATTCAGGACAAGGCTACCAACAGAATTCTGCATAAAGGTTGCCATTCTAATGGTCTTTATCAGCTTTCTGCACCTAGTTCACAGCCAGCTTCACATCCAGCTACTTGCTATCACAGTATTTCTACTTCTGCACCTAATTGGCATTTCAGATTAGGTCATCCATCATTCAAGAAACTTCAACACATTGCTACTACTTCTAAACTTTCTTCCCTTTCACACACTACCACTGGTTTATGTTCTCATTGTTGTGTCTCTAAGACACATAGATTACCATTTACTTTGTCAAATTCTACTGTTAATAAGCCCTTTGCTTTAATACACTCAGATGTATGGGGCCCTTTCTCTGCTTCTGTATCTGGATTTAAATACTATGTTGTTTTCATTGATGACTTCAGTAAATTTACTTGGTTATATCCTCTGCATTTTAAGAGTGAAGTCTTTCAAAATTTCTTGAATTCAAGGCCATGGTTGAAACACAATTTACTACTTCTCTTCAAATTTTACAAAGTGATAATGGTGGTGAATATCTAGCTAAAGAATTTCAGAATTTTTTGTCCTCCAAAGGCATCTTGCATCAGCTCACATGTCCTTATACTCCTGCACAGAATGGGGTTGCCGAAAGAAAGCATCACCATCTCATTGAAACAACTATTGCTCTTATGCATCACTCTTCCTTACCTTGTCATTATGGTTTGATGCATTGGCTACTGCAGTTGTTCTTATCAACCGACTTCCTACAGCTAAACTTCAATTTCTCAGTCCCTTTGACGTTCTCTTTCATAAGCCACCTGATTACTCTTTTCTTCGTACTTTTGGTTGTCGTTGTTATCCTTAGTTAAAACCATATACTTCTCACAAGCTTCAACCTCGCTCCATTCCGTGTGTCTTTATTGGTCACCATCCTGCTATTAAAGGATATCGGTGTTTGGATCCTGTCACCAACAAAATTTACACGTCTCGCCATGTTGTTTTTGATGAGCATCTTTTTCCCTTTTCTTCTTCTTCTTCTTCGTTGTCTTCTTCATCTCCCTCTCTTCCTCAGTTACATTCCTTTTTCTGGTTTACCTCTTCTCCGCATGTCAGTCCACAAACTGTATCCAATATCCTTCCCATGTCTCATCCAGCTGCTACTGTCCCTGCAGCCCCAGCACCAGCTGCAGCTACAGTCATCTCATCAACTTCTCAGTCTACTTCTCCAGCTTTTCCATCACCCTTGTCATTATGGTTTGATGCATTGGCTACTGCAGTTGTTCTTATCAACCGACTTCCTACAGCTAAACTTCAATTTCTCAATCCCTTTGAGGTTCTCTTTCATAAGCCACCTGATTACTCTTTTCTTCGTACTTTTGGTTGTCGTTGTTATCCTTGGTTAAAACCATATACTTCTCACAAGCTTCAACCTCGCTCCATTCCGTGTGTCTTTGTTGGTCACCATCCTGCTATTAAAGGATATCGGTGTTTGGATCCTGTCACCAACAAAATTTACACATCTCGCCATGTTGTTTTTGATGAGCATCTTTTTCCCTTTTCTTCTTCTTCTTCTTCGTTGTCTTCTTCATCTCCCTCTCTTCCTCAGTTACATTCCTTTTTCTGGTTTACCTCTTCTCCGCATGTCAGTCCACAAACTGTATCCAATATCCTTCCCATGTCTCATCCAGCTGCTACTGTCCCTGCAGCCCCAGCACCAGCTGCAGCTACAGTCATCTCATCAACTTCTCAGTCTACTTCTCCAGCTTTTCCATCACCAGCAGCTCCACCAGCATCTCTGTCTGCTCCGCTGTCTGCTTCTACAGCATTTCCATCAGCTGCAGTTCCACCAGCATCTCTGTCTGCTCCTCCAGCAGCAGCAGCAGCAGCAGCAACTCTGTCTGTTCCTTCCTCAGCTCCACCAACAACTGCCCCAACACACCCACTGGCTCCGTCTATTCCTATCTCTGCCTTGACTATTGATTTACCATTTCCATCTCAAGTTTCTCACAATATTCATCCTATGGTCACCAGGTCCAAATCTCATCTTCCTGCTGCTGCCTTTGTTGCCACTTCTGTAATTGAACCTGCTTCCTTCCAAGAAGCTTCTCAGTCTCCTTCTTGGACTCAAGCTATGCTTGAAGAGTATCAGGCTCTGCAAAAGCAGTCCACTTGGTCTCTTGTTTCTTTACCACCCAACAAACAAACCATTGGATGTAAATGGGTATGCAGATTAAAGACTCACTCCGATGGCTCCATTGCTCGGTATAAAGCCCGGTTGGTCGCCAAGGGCTACCTTCAAGAAGAGGGTGTGGATTTCCAGGAGACTTTCAGTCCTGTGGCCAAGCAACCTACCATTCGTATTTTATTGTGTCTTGCTCTTCACTTCAATTGGTCTATCAAACAGCTTGACATCAGTAATGCTTTCTTACATGGAGTGTTGGATGAAGAGGTTTACATGTCTCAACCTCAGGGGTTTATCGATTCCACTCGCCCTCATTTGGTCTGCAAACTTCACAAAGCCTTGTATGGCCTTAAGCAAGCTCCAAGAGCCTGGTTTTCCACTTTTTCCTCCTATCTTCTCTCTCAAGGTTTTCTTTCCAGTCACTGTGACTCCTCCCTGTTTGTTCGCAAAACCTCTACTTCTCTTACCATTTTGGTTATCTATGTTGACGATATCCTTGTTACTGGTAGTGATCCCTCCTTCATTACCTCTCTTCTTGCTCACATGCACACTGTTTTTTCTATGAAAGAGTTGGGTTTCATCAACTATTTTCTTGGCATCTCTGTCACTTCCTCTTCAACTGGTTTCTTCCTTAATCAAGCTAAGTATGCTACAGAAATTTTGGCTAAAGCTGGAATGCTTAATTATAAGGCCTATGCTTCTCCTATGGCTATCAATTCCTCTCTGTCTTCTCATTCTGATGTTGATCTACCTTTTGACAACCCTTCTCTTTATCGAAGTCTTGTGGGTGCCTTTCAATACTTAACTATTACTCGTCCGGACTTGGCTTTTGCTGTCAATTCAGCTTGCCAGCATATGCACTGTCCTCTGGTTAGTCATTTTCATGCTGTCAAATGCATCTTACGCTACGTCAAAGGTACTATCCATTTTGGTCTTCAGTTTTCTCCTGGTCCTCTTGTTCTCCATGCTTACTCGGACTTTGATTGGGCTGGCAGCTCTGTTGATCGCCGCTCTACTACTGGGTTTTGTGTCTTTCTTGGTCCCAACTTGATTTCTTGGTCGGCCAAGAAACAACCCACTGTTTCTCGGTCATCTTCTGAGGCGGAATATCGTGCGTTAGCTCAAACTGCTGCTGAGCTTACCTGGTTGGGCATGCTTCTTACGGATCTTCATATCTCTTTTCCCACTCCTACACTCTGGTGCGACAATCTTTCTGCCATCGCCATGACTAGCAATCCTGTCTTCCATGCTCGTTCTAAGCATATTGAAGTCGACTATCATTATGTTCGCGAACGAGTGGCTGCCAAGTTTTTGTCTGTCCAACATGTAGCCTCTTCTGATCAGATAGCAGACATTTTTACAAAGCCTCTATCTGTTGCTTGCTTTCACTTGCTTCAGTCCAAGCTGTTGGTTGTGCCTTCACCCATCAGCTTGCGGGGGAATGATAAACCACCAGAACAACCATCATCAGATCAACAACAACAACCATCAGATCAACTTCCCAGATTAACTGAATAACTAATACAGTTAGAGTTAATTAGGTTGTTATTTTGCTGTAGTTAATAAACTGTTAGATGTTGAGTTTATATAAACCATGGTTAGGATATAAGACTGCTTGTATATATAGATCAAATACATTACTGTATGTGTCGTATGAATTCAATAATACCAAATCTCTTTAATATACAAAAATTAATTAATAAATAGAGCACATATCAAATATAGACTAGTCAACTTATGTATGGTATAGCAACAGTAGGGAAACAAGAAGGAAATAAAATCAAAACATTCTTTTGTTCATGTCATTCAGCAAGGAAATACATTGCTCGGTTTGTTTGTTTTTTTTTTTTTCAATGATGAACCTGATTTTCATTTTCTTCATCAATTTTGCTGATTCCAATGAAGAATGTGTTGAAATGTTTAAATCGACTGAAAAATTCAATGCAAACTGAAAGAGCGAACCATTTCACTTCCATGTGACATCCTAAAACACATTTCAGAATAAACAAGACCAAGGAAATTTGCAAGGAACTTTGACACCAACCTGGCAGCATAATTTTTTCGAGAATGGAGTGCTTGATACTCTAATGGACATATTTGCCCAGATATTCTTCTTCGGTCATGTAATTGGAGCTCCAACTGCAACAAATTTAGTTTCAAGTCGAGAACTCCAACATGGAAAGTTAAATAGATAGGTATTTTGGAATAGCATACAAATTTCAAGAGAATGCTCATTAGATGGTACATGACAAAAGGTGCATTTCCAAAACTCACCTCGGACGAAGCCAGAAACTGATAAATTGCACTCTGAACATGACATGAACAGAAATCTTTTAAGTACACAGTGGGGCAGTTAAAACTAAAACTGTGTTTTTTCTAAGAAACTACTAAATTAACAATCAAACATGAATGAATTACCTGTGGCATGCTATTAAGGTCCCCATCAAGTATGACAGGAATGTTGCCCCATTCTTGTCATAGTTTATGGGCCTTCTTAGAGCCACACAAACTAATACACGTGGAGCGAGAGAGGGAGAGAGTAACAGTGAAGATGAGGTAGCAGGAGCTCTTAAATGGTTTTCCTGAGTGAAATAATAGCAATCAAATACTAAGTTTCTTAGCTAATGAAGATGGAGGAAAACAAAAGCCTATTTCAAATCTTATTTGAAGTTGCAAGGTTCAGAGAATTTTCTTAAACGTCCAACCAAACAGAAGAGTAAAGTCAAACTACATCACTTTGCCACCTAAAATAGAATTGCAAATAAGTTGTGTCCATTCAAGGAGAAATAGAATTGCATAAATAATTTGCACCAGCGGGTATAGCACTACATTAACATTTAACTTAAAAAACAATCAACTTAGACAATGAAAAGAAAAATCTAAATTAGATGTAAAGGTAAATGTTTACTAGGATCAACCAGTCAGTTTTCTATAATGAAAAACCGGACATGACATTGCTATATTTAGAAATCTTAGAAAGATGAACCTGTTGAAACTGTGTAATCCTATGCATAGATTGATCGCTGGCTGTTCCACCGAAAAAAAGTTCCTGATTTTTTCTCTTCTTTGATGCTGGAAGGGTACCAAGATGTGAAGTCCCAATGGCCCCGTTAATTGCTGGGTTGGCTGCCTGTTGAATGTAAGACATAAAATTAGCATGGTCCCCATGGAAAAAACCCTTTCTCTCTTCATTTTCTTCAAACTTTTTGCAGTCCATGCATTTACAATTTTCAGAACACAGAACGTTGGCCTGAAAGCACTCGCAATGCTTCTTGAGCCACCCTGATTTTTTACAGTTACATCCTTTGTTGTGTATTTCCATTGCTGTAACCTCCCTTGCCTCTTCCTGCATTAGTTTTGTGAGTTCAACTACATGTCATTCTTACTGAGAAAGATTGATGTTTAAAAAATAAAATACAGATGTTAACCCAGGAATTATCAAATTTCAATAAACAATGAAACAAAACAAAATCCCTTTTATAGAAGCCTAATGTTTTGACTAAAGAGAAATCAAAAGGACTTGTGCCACAGTGAGAAATTTTGGACACATACAAGAATAAACAGGCTAACATTTAACACTGAGACCCATCCATTCATAGGAAAAGTTCATCATAGAGGATATAAATTACTATACTTGAGAGAGAGAGAGAGAGAGAGCGCTTTATTATTAGCAACATTTCAAATCTTTCACATTTCATAATTTTTCTTAAAAAGAAAATGCTCACTAGTCAATACTTAACATTGTACAAAGTAAGTAACGTAGTGACCCACTAAACGTGATGGATATGTAGTAGCAGGTAGCTCTACCAATTTCAGTGAGCAATAATAACATAGATTATTTTTACTTCATAAACTTTAAACATACACTCCCATACAAATTCTTAAAATAAAAAATAATACCTAGCACCTACAAATTACACCAAACAGAGCCAACAACTATAGGAAGAAAGAGGACCCATAGCCTTGAATCATCTAATTTGCAATCTTTTCTTGTGGTTCGATGATGTGCTGTGTGTATAATGCATTTCCCTGCAAAGACATATATATATATATATATAGCCTCTGTTAACATCATGTCACTGTTGCTTTACTTGATTCATTGTGTTTCTTTAGAAATTTCATGGCATGTTTCCCTTTGATCAGGTATGAGGTAGTTGACATGCTGCCATCCATTGAAATAAAGAAAACAGAGTATGGTGGGAGAGCTTACAAAGTCTCAGCAATATAAAATGGACTAATTCAACTGCTTGGAAAAAAAAATGAAATTATTTCTTGAAAGGGATTGAGCCTCCTACATCCTTGGACTAGAAATTGATATGGACAAAGATATTGATGAGTAGGAATAGATGATTCAACTAACTGGAAAAAAAAAAAAATCAAATTTATTTTTCTGAAAGTGATGGCGCTTCATTTCATTGGGCAATATTATAATTTCATAGAAATTATAATTTCGAAAATCAAACCCATTTTCGACATGAAGAATATCATAATTTCATAGAAATCAAACACTTCAACCAAACCCATTATCGAAATCAACACAAAATAAAACTAAAAAAATCATATAAACCCTAGATGAAGTGTGAGAAATGGGGAAATAGGGGAAGGGAGAAAGAGAGAGAGAGAAACAGAGAGAGAGAGAATGGCTCGACACAGAGAGAGAGACCCAGATCGACAACGAGGGAGAGGACCGAACGCGACAGTGACAAACCTGTGATTTGCGGCAGTGTTGGTGGTAATTTCGGCAATGGCGGTGGCGACGTGCGACGGTGGGGATGGACGGTGGCCAGCGACAGTGGTAGTGACAGTCGGTGGTGAGAGGGAGAAGCAGAGGGAGAACTGCTGAAGAAAGAGAGAAGAGGCGCTGGTTCGTGGTTTGGAAACCAAAATATATATATTACACCATTGGCGACTAAAAGTTTTTAGTCGCTGAAAGTATTTCATAAATCCCTCCAAACTATTTAAAATATCTCCCTCCAATAATCTTAGTTCTTTGGCGACTAAAATTATTTTTCGTCGCTGAACATAAACTTTTGGCTACTAAAATTTTGGTTGCCAAAGGTAAAAAATAATTTTTTATTTTCCAATCGGCGACTAAAGCGTTTTAGTAGCCAAATCTCTACCTACGGCGACTAAAATTATTTTTCGTCGCTAAAAATAAACTTTTGGCAACTAAAATTTTAGTTGCCGAAGGTAAAAAAATAATTTTTTATTTTCCAATCGGCGACTATAGCGTTTTAGTAGCCAAATCTCTATCTACGGCGACTAAATTTTTTTTTTGGTCACCAATTCTGGCATTTTTGGCGACTAAATTTTTTTTTAGTCTCCAATAAACAATATACCCCAACTAAAAAAAATTAGTAGCTAAATATTTTACTTTTGCAGACTAAAAAAATTTTTAGTCGCCATTTCTACAACTTTTGGCGACTAAATTTTTTTTAGTCACCAATTTTAGTCGCCAAAGGTGCATTTTATTGTAGTGACAAAATCACAAATGCCATAGCTACATCTTTTTAGTCGTAACTAAAAAAAAATAATGGGTCATAATCAAACAGAAAGACTTTTTTTTTCTAATCGTAATCACAATAACAATCACAATAGAAATAATCAACATCACAATCAATCATAACACAAAAAAAAGAATGTATATTATAGAATTTATCTTTAGAATGGCATATTATAAGATAATGATTATATATGAAGAAAAGGGGAAAAAGGAGGAGAGAGCATAGCAATTGACCTTGGTGACAGAGAGTAATGCGAGCGAAGAACTGAGAAGCGCTTTATTTTTGGTACAGAGCTTTAACAATGGAGGGTTTGGGGTTTGAATTAAACCCTAGTGTTTTTTCATGCTCTCTCTCTCTATCCCTCTCTTCTTTCCAAAGTTCTACTAGTCTCTAGTGTAAATTGTAGTTCCCTCTTAGCGAAACGCCTCTCTTTCTCTCTCTCTCTCTCTCTCTATGGAATTGTCCTTTTTTAGAGGCAAGTGTCATCTTTCCAAAGAAACAAAAATAGTAGTAGATGAATTACAAATACAATTCTTAGGATTTGTTTAAAATAAAAATAATACTTTTATTAATAAATTATTAAATTCATTCATAATTTTTAATAATATTATAAATATATTTTAATTAATAATTTGAATAATTTTATTGTTGTTTAAAAAAATAATTATAAATTTTATTGTTGTTTTAAGTAACAAAATATAAAATTTTATTATTTTTTATTCACTCACAAATTCCAAAGAGCACTCCCTCTTTTACATCATACTCGCAACATTGTTGATTGTGTTGTTTTAGCACATTATTGTATCATAATGTTATATAAAGTAAAAATAATGCTACATATAATTTTATTTTTTATCTTATTTTTTCACTCCTAAATACAAAGCAATAAGATTCATAAGAAAGATATCGCCTATCAAACCCTTGATCTATCGTATTGGAGCAATTCGATAACAACGATTAGAGTCATATTCTATCATTTCTACAATGCCCATAGACTAAGTGCTTTGCTTCAGATCAATTCTTCACTGCAATCACTCTTTAATAGATCATGAGTGGGGGGTCTGTTGTCCTCCTCATTTAACCCTATTCTATCGTGTCCAAAACTACTTTGATGCTTACATATCTAATGATTGGTGGCAAGCAGGCAAAATAAAATCCAATTAAGCTTTGGCAAAGTTTGAGTGAAGAAGATCAAATTTATTTTTTCAATTTATCATTAGCAATCCACAGAAATGCAGCTTTAGTAAGATGCCCATTCAGCTATTTTCCCAGCAAACCATGTTGAACTATCCAAGCTTTGAACTGCTGAATAACTTCCTCAAATGGAATAGCTGCATCATGCCAAATGTTGCAAATCTACATAATTGATATCACCTTACCAGCAAAGGTAAAGAAAATCAAAGTTTGTTCTTCATGGATATCATCCAGCAGATTTTGTAGTAATTTTTTTCAGACTTTAGACAGTACAAGATACCATGGATTTGCATTAGCATAAATTAGAGATTGTCAAGCACCTGATGAATTATATAGTCCTTGACAAACCCCAGAATTAACAAAGGGTAGGCTAATATAGGGATATATAATTTGTTGAAACAAAGAAATCTCATCATATGTGCATAAAAATACCTTTGAGTGTTTTAATTGTAGATGTGACTCTCAGATAACTATAAAATTCATACTAAGATGCAGGAATATTGTATTAATTATCTACCATACCTAAAGCATTCTAAGTTTTCTTTCTAATCAAACCTTATAATATAAGAAAATAACAAAATTTAGGCATACAGGCATCAATCGCATGGTTGGAGGAAGTTCTTCCTAAATCATTTAAGCACACAATGAAAAAGAGTGTAATTATTTGGATACAATGGAAATCTAATAGAATAAATAGAAAAACATGTGTTGTTCATTCTAGTCAATCACTCTGTTAGATTAAATGATACACAAACATATGAAGTCTCCTAGAAGAACATCTACAATAAGAAACACTACAAACACTGATTTTCATCTCTTTTGTTATACCTCTGTATTAACTGGTTCTGTGTATTAGTCAAAAATCTAGCTCAGGCAATTCACTGGTTGTCTGGTTCTGGTTCTGTCTAGCGGTTCTCAAGGATTTAGATTTTGAATAGTTTGGTTCAATTTACTGACATAGGCACAAATGGGGCTAAATCTAGCAATTTTATTATGACTGTAATGCTTGAAAGAATCAGTGAATGATAAACTAAACCCTAAACCCTAAAACATTATTTGTATTCCTTATACTCTGCTGCTGCATCGATCCTTAAAAATCTGTTTTCATCATTCTCCTTTTGGTGAAAACAAATGCAGATATTTCATACTATACTGTGAATGATTTTGTTGGCAGGGTAAGGCATCTCTACGTTGCATCGTTATATTTAAAGTTACCATATTTTCCTTATACAAATTTTTTTCTTTGGGAATGAGTTTGACCTTGGAATCATCCTTCAAATTAATGAATTAACCAAGATAATAAAGACACGTTACTTAGAAAACATCTTGCATAATGCTTTAGATTAAATGAACTCACTCAATCATTAAAGACATATCCTACTTGTTACCGCATTGTAGAATTAACAAAATGATAACATAGACTGAACCCAAATGTTGCAAGGTGGTTTTGCAACATTTTAGCAATGTTGTTAAAATTGGCAACAAAATGCGGACTTAAATTTGTTCTGATAAAAAATTATATGTATTACATCTTCTTATGGAGATATTGCCTGGTTGCAGGTGCAATAACACTAGCACAATGTTTGTTCTATAGAAATTTGTTTCCTTCCATTTCTCATCTTTAAACTCATCATCTCTCTTGTTGTCTTCATATCTTTAAGATTTTCTTTAGTTACTAAAAGATTACAAAATTAAGAATGTATCAATATGGATTTCCAAAATGAGTGAAGCAGTAGACACACTGGTTTATGAAGACACATCTACATCTTCTAGGTTGCAAAGAATTAAAACTAGGCACATCACAATTCAAATAGCATCATGCTTTATAATATGAAAAGGGAAATGTCATACAAACAAAATTTATATGCAAAAAATTCATACAGAACGATATGTCTCATTATATATATTCCTTGGAAGTCAAAATGCTTCATTATTTTGATTCATAATTGCAATAATTGCATTACCACACCATTCTTGTCTTAAATTTTGTATGATTCTATTTGAATATCAATTTCAATATGAGAATTACATGGATCTAGACCTCATGACAATACCTAACTACATAGACATACCACAAGAAGCCTTCAAATGAAGCATGACTTAGCATAATATTCATATTGCAGTAGAGCTAAGAAATGCAGAATATTCATATTGCAGTAGAGCTAAGAAACTCCGGTCAATCTTGATAATCCATTTTTTGAAAACAAAAACTGCCTGGTCACTTAACCAAAAAAGGAAAAAAAAGGAAAACAAACAAAAGAAGGAAAGAACAAGAACAGAGTCTCATTCTCCAAGGATTTTGAAATTTTTTAAAACTAAAGGCCTAACTATTGAAAGAAAAACTTCCTAGTTGAAAGGATCAACAAAACATAAACTTCATGTATATAGGCCCCTAATTGAAAAATAAAATAAAATGAAATATAAAATTAAAAAAAAAAAAAAAATCTCTTCCTTAAGGCGATGGAAATTCTTCTTATTCAAAAAATCCTAATAAAAATGGAAAAATGCATCTTAACAATAATAAATATACAGGGGAAATGGAATTTAAATGAAAAATTTTCCGATGTAAAAATATGCTAAATATTTAAATATTTCAAATTTGCTCTTTAAGATTTTACCAAAGGTTGCAAGAACAAGAAAATTGGGCTGGCATGCCTCACATATTAAGGGATATGTATGTTTTATTATTTTTTAGTTCACAGTTAAATGAGGTACATTAAAAGTAAAATGAACAAAATATATTGTACCAAAGGAGATGAATAATCAACATACAATTAGAACCATTGCCAAAGAAGATGAACAACGAAGAAACTAAAGAAATGATATGAAACAAAGATAATTTAAAGCAGGACAGAGCAATAAACATAACATGCTTAATTCCAAAAGACAATTACATACAGTGTATTGAGACAATGAACACATAATGACATACAATTTCCAAAAGACAGTTTTGATACAACAAACATCGTTTGATTTCCATGTGCTAGTTGATTAGGCAAGCAAGGTAAAAAAAAAAAGATTCTTAATTCTAAAGCACATAGATGGAAAATTTTTGAAATTGGAATTAAGAAAATAAATGAAAACACATGGACCAGATTATGATATCAAGAGATTCATAACAACCTGGAAACTTCACTTGCTGTCTAATATGTCAACAAAATCAATGGCCATAAACTCATCCTCAATCCAAAGTCTAATCTCAAGAGAATTGAAAATGCAAAAGACCATTCGCCTAAAGTGTGAACTTGGCATGCTACTGAGTTTCAAAAAGCACAAGTTGGACAGATATTTTTCAAATAATTATTACAAGAGATATCAAGCTTACCAATTGGCAACTCCCAAAACTCTACAAACAAATAATACTGAGGGGAGGACATACACTCAAGTTGAATAATTAGATTAACCTTCTCTCCCCTTCTGATGGTGTTGAGTGCTTTTGGCAATGTTGGACAAAATGGCCTAAAAGAATCAAACATAATGATTTTCCCATAAAAGATGTCAGTGGAACTATACCCTTATACTTCACTGCATTATAAATGTTTAATCCAAAACATTGAAAACAAATGCAAATCATTATTTTAATAGCCAATTACCATCTTTAACATGAAATTCGACTCCCTTCTGGTGTTGTTGCAACCATAGCACCATCATCCAACCTCACGTGATACGCAATTGCATCAGAAACCAAAAAAATTCCTTGAATCATTGTTCTAACAAGAATAATAACAGTTGAAAACTGCAGCCTAAATAGGGCTGGCCTTGACTTTTTTAGGGCCCAAGGCGAACTCAAAAAATGAGGCCCAAATCATCATACATAGTTTAATATTGAGATAAATTTTAAAATTATAAATGTTTAATCCAAAACATTGAAAACAAATGCAAATCATTATTTTAATAGCCAATTACCATCTTTCACATGAAATTCGACTCCCTTCTGATGTTGTTGCAACCATAGCACCATCATCCAACCTCACGTGATGCGCAATTGCATCAGAAACCAAAAAATTCCTTGAATCATTGTTCTAACAAGAATAATAACAGTAGAAAACTGCAGCTTAAATAGGGCTGGCCTTGACTTTTTTAGGGCCCAAGGCGAACTCAAAAAATGAGGCCCAAATCATCATACATAGTTTAATATTGAGATAAATTTTAAACATTTTCGATTGTTAACATTATTAGTTTATTCACACTTCCTGGCGTAGTAGATTGAATTGTAAAATTTGATAAACTTCAACTTAAAAAAAAAATATATTTTTCAAAAGACAATTATAATTGGTATAGTCAAATAATATTCTATAAATAATTCATGCATTTGGCAAACAACCATCCATTACTTTTAAATAATTTACGAATTCAAATTTTTTAAAAAAAAATTAAAACTTCATTTTTAAACTACTAATACTATTATGTAGTATTTGGTTCATTGAAATGAAATGAAATTAAATAGAATGATCATTTCTTATTAGTCTTTTTGGACATTATGTCGGGGTGATTTTCATTTTATTTTATTTTTTAATTTCAATGAACCAAACATAACTTAAGATCGAAAATTATTTGGGGGTCCTATTTTTAGACAAAATTTGGGGGCCTGAGGCGGCAGCCTTGCTCGTAGTGCCTCAAGGCCGGCCCTGAGCCTAAACAACCTAAAAACATAGAACTTGTCATCAATGAAAATCATATGGAATCAAATAATTAATAATAAATAAACAAACAAGTTATATTACCGAGAACATAATCTAAATCACTGGGTGGGCCAATTTGTTCTCCCTTCTCCATCACTTTCTTAATAATTCCACCATCCTTGCAAACATCTATATTGTGATCCATGAGATGAGATTCAAACTAAATAACACAATTGAGAGGGACACCATTTCTACCTGTGGTTCATAACCCAAATCAGGGACAGCGTCAACAATGCCATCTCCCCCTTCTTCATGGTAATGATTGCATGGTCCAATACCACTTGACCTAACCAACCCATCAATAAACCAATCAAGTTGAAGTAACCCAAACGTAACTCCATGAAAATAAAGAATCACAATGAAATACTTTTGCATCCGAAAATACTAAGTTTTCAATGCTTTGTTTTTGAATTTTAATGTAATGTCTTTAAAGCTAGAAATCCATCAATTTTGTTAGTGGAGATAGCACTCTTTAGCATCATTGGTATAGTTTTTGAATATAAGTTCTCATTGTTGCTCACAGCAATGGCTCTCGTTGATTGCATTTATGTCGAACAAATGGTGTGCCTAATTTGTGTATGCACTAATAAGCAACCATGAGAACAGAAGCATGCAAATCAGATATCAATATATCCTTATATAGCAGGAAAAGGAGTAGAAAACCACTAAATTACATACCAGATTGTGGAGTTTGGGCTATAATTTGTGAACCTAGAAACAACGAAGCAGAACCAAGATAGGAAGTGAAGCAGAACCAAGATAGGAAGTGAAGCAGAACAAAGAGTATAAACATATATATATATATATGGTTTTGTGCACCAACTAACCGACTCGCTTATCCAACCCACGTAGCTGCACAAGCAAACAAAGAGCACCACCTCGTCCAATTGATATTTTGTAGGTACCAATTTCAGCACATCCCAGCACATGGCCAAACTTCACCAAAAAAGAGAGAAAAAATTAATTTCATTCAAGAAAAGACCCTGTTTGAAGTTGATAATAAAAAAGATGAAACTAACATCTCTCCTTCAACTTGAAAATAATTAATTTTTTCAACTTATTTAATCTATTTTTGCAGCATAAATGATATACAAAAATTGTACCAAACACTCTTGCACATATTCTTTGAAAACCAACTATATAAGCAGATAGAATAAGCTAAACCAAACAAGGCCAATGTCCTTTGTGACAATCGTCCATTGTAGCACTTTAAACTTGAGCTGCATAGTGTTCATAGGTTGGAAGTGCATTACGTGTTATTAAATAAATTGATTTGCCTAAATTGAAGTTGGTTTTTGATTTTTTTTTTAAGATAAATATTTTTTTTTTCTAAAAACAAATAACATAAACAAGTAAATTTTCCTACTGCATTACTGACCTGAATTTTCAGTTCCTGCAAAACCTGGTACCTTCAGAATTCTATCTTGGTTGCTTTCAGCTGCATATGGGTTTTAAGTGAACATATTCGTATTCATATTTTCAACAAGTCTAATGGTTATACTTTGGTTTACAAATACCATCGGGAAGATTTCATTAATTACCTGTGCTTGAACTCACTTCACGTTGTGAACTTTCACAAGTATCAACTTTGTCATGATTGATATAAAGCTTGAAACCTGCCAAGAGAAACTTAGCATGAAGGAAACCATATGAAACCATAGCAAAAATAACCATTCAAAGTCCTATATGACAAGAACAGGCAAGTTAATTCGCTTGGAATGTTTTGATATGAAGGAATAAAATAAAATAAACCAATTTCATTGGCAATAAATGTCATAAGCACATGAACATAATAAGTTTTCTCTTATAGGCATATTGTCAAACACAATGTGTGCAAGGTATACATATTAACAAACATTGTTTAACACACAAACTTACAAATCCAATACCAACATCTGCAAACAAAAGAAATTGAAAATCATGATGTGTAATCATCTAATGTATACACAAAACACAAGGTTTGTAACAATGTATTACCAGGTGGTGCAATTTGGGAGTCTTCTGTTTAGAAGCTTGTCTATGTACACGGTGACTAAAAAATCGTAGACATTGAATATATAGCATTGACGATTTTGTACAATTGATTCACTACTACAGAATATTGGACATTGTATGTAGATGTATCCGATTGGGTCATCATCCAGTGCAGCGGCGGAATGTCGTCCCAACTATTTCTCTACAAATGATGCACCAACTGAATGAACTTTCTAGGAGGAAGACTTGGAGGGTGTGAGATGGCCCTCACTAGATGTAGTTGAGAGAATAGACAAATTGAACTGCTTCGGCAGGTTCGAGCTTCTTCCAAAGAATAGTATTGGGTTCTAGAAATTTCTGATGAACCAAAACCAAAAGAGAACCAGAAAAACAGATCTTTTCTTCATGAGTTGTAATAAAGGATTAGCATGGGTGAGTTGTAAAGGAAAAGCTCTGGAAAATAAGCAAGTAGCAGGAGCACCGATCTTGGAAAATTCAAGGAGGGTGGTGAAATTTGTCTTCTTCTTCTATTGTGTATATGGATGATTTGAAGCCCCACATGTGTAGCCCCAAATCTGCAAGGAAAGAGTAAGAAACCAAGCAAACAGGAGCATTATATCACTGCAAGCAGCAGTGTTATACCCCTCTTTCACACTTTAATTGGGGGTACAACTCGGACGGGTTCGGTCGGGTTGGGGGCCCGACCCGAATTGTATTTGGCAGTGCCTAAGCCCGTCCAAGTTTGACCATGAACCCGAGCATTGCTGCCCAAGCCCGGCCCGAGCTTTGTATTTTGAGCTTGGGTTAGCCCGAATTGCCCGAATTGCCCGAATTACCCGAATTGCCCGAGTCCAGAAACTTGTAGGTAGATCTATGGGTAGACATAAAAGATGCTAATCTAATGGTAGAAGACTAACAAAAAATAAATAAAAAATAAAAATTAAGACTAACTCTTTTACTTAATAGAAGACTAACCAAAAAAAAAATAAAAAATAAAAATTAAGACTAACTCTTTTACTTAATAGAAGACTAACCAAAAAAAAAATAAAAAATAAAAATTAAGACTAACTCTTTTACTTAATAGAAGACTAACCAAAAAAAAAATAAAAAATAAAAATTAAGACTAACTCTTTTACTTAATAGAAGACTAACCAAAAAAAAAAAAAAACTCAAAAATAAGAATAGAGGTGTAGTAAGTTAAAAATTATATAAGAGTTAAATGGCAATTATAATTTTTTAAATTTAAATTTTGTGTAGTTAAAAAATAAGTATTTATGATATCTTATTATACAAATTTTAACTCTATTTTGTGTTTACTACTAATAATTTTTAACAATTTTGTAGTATAAAGCTACTTAATTAAAAAAAATTTTAAAAAAAATCAAGGGATCACCCTATAAATTTCAACAGTTTTTGTATTTTGAAGCTACTAAATAAAAAAAATAGCATCACTTTTCTTTTTATAATCTTAGTTAGTTTCATTTTACTTATGTTTTGTGTCAATAACCTATAAATTTTAGCAATTTTTTGTATTTTGGAGGTACTAATAAAAAAAAAAATCACTTCTCTTTTTAAAATCTTAGCTAGTTTTTATTTTTTATTTTTTTATTTTTTAAACTTTGTGTTAAGAGCCGGTAAAGTGGCATTGGTAGTGCTATGCATGATTATAAATAAATAATAAAAAATTAATTTCAAAATTAAATAATAATATAAATTTTATCTAAAATATGTAGTTGAATGATATAATCAATTAATTTTTATTCATTTATCAGAGTTACACATAAGTGGCTTATATATTTATGCCAACATGACCTTCATCTAATCATTAAAAATTATCTTAGTCTATGCCTAACTTATGAATCATTTGACCTATTTATTTATTAAATTGGTAAATAAATATCTATAAGTATTTTTTATTTTTTAAATAAGAATTATGAACTTATTTTATGCATATCTATCAAAACATTTGAGCTTACGTAAAAAAAGAATTATACATTTATATTAACACTATGAAATAAATATTTACGTATATTCATATATTAAAAAATTATCTAAGATAAAGTCGCCATAAATTATATGTCATAATTTAGCTTTAATCTTAATAAAAATATTTGATAGTAATAAATTTAAACATTATGTATAAATTATATCATAATTCATCAATTCGTGACTGGTATGAGCTAGTTTAGGGGTTCTAATATTGGATTAAATATTTAATGGGCCAATTTTGGGCCCCGTTTTAATGATCAAAACGTTTATATTTTAGAGTTCGTTGAGTACATCATCCCTAGAAAAAAAAATCAAATTGATTTGATACGGAAATTATGTGTTTGGATCAATTTTGTATGAACTATTTATTTTCTCACTGTCCATTTTAGTCGCCAATACCTCCGGCGACCATATATATGCGACAAAACGGGCGACTAAAAAAATTAGTCGCTGAAAGTAAAAACTCGACTTTCGGTGACTAAAAACAGACTTTTGGGGACTAAAAATTTAGTCACCAAAGGTGCTTTTTCTTGTAGTGTTATCTAATCGATTTGATTTTTTACAGCGATGATGTACTTGATGAATCGTAAAATATGAATGATTCAAATTATCAAAATGGTGCCAAAAAGTGAGCGCATAAGGCCCAACGGTACCTTTCTAGTCTGATGGAGGACTAGAGAGAAACACTGCCATGTTAAAGGATCAATAATGTTTAAATTTTAAGTTAAAGAATTAATTATTTTCCATATGTGTATGTATGAATGTATCAAAATCATGCATTAATGCAATCTTAGGGAAACAATTTTGAAAATAAATTTGGCATGGTAAACATAAATTAAGGAAGTAATTTGAAATGGTAATTATGGTAGCATAATTTAAGGGTTTAATGTAAAACTCTATGAATTTAATTACGAACTAATTAAAATGTAACACGTAATGACACTTAATATTTTCATTATTAAAAAAATTAAAAATTAAAAAATTGAGAGTTTGAACCTTAAAGAATCCCTATTAATGAAATTTTAATATATACGTTGAGTAGTAGTAGCCATGGTGAGAGAAAAAAAATTTTATGAAATTTTAATTATATAAATTATTTTACCCTTTATGATGAAGAATTTAAAGTATTTTAATATAAAATATTTTATGACGAAATATTTTTGAGTGTGTGATTTATTATTTTTTTTAAAATTGGAAAACTCATTTTTTTAGTGTGTGATTTATTAATTATTATTATTATTTTTATTGGAAAACTCCTTCGTTGTTAATGGTAAGGAATGAATGATTTTAGGAATAAAAAATGCATTGTTTTTTTTAAAAAAAGTGTTAGTGTGTGATTTATTAATTATTTTTTTAAATTAAAAAATCAAGAAATTTGGATTGAACATTTAGAACTCTGTTAACTCTTCTCACTAAAACCCCCTAAAAAAATCAAAAAATTTGGATTGAACATTTAACTCACTTAACTCTTCTCACTAAAAATCCCTTTTTACTTATATATATAGATAAATTATTTTTTTTTGACATTATTAATGATTTTACTAAAAAAAAAATAGTAGCTTAAACAAAAACAAAATAAAACAAAACAAATTTTTAGGCTACGCAGGTCAATCTTGGATCCACACCGTCAGCTAACAAGGCGAGTTTTGACAACTCTCAATACAATTTAGATTAAGAGTTATTTTAAAAGTTAGTTATTTTAATTAATTTTTTACTTTTTATAATGTTTGGCATGGATTTTTTTGGTTATTTTAGTTACAAAAAGATAAAAAAAGCTAAAAAGTTAATAAGATAAAATGCCACATTCAAACCATAATCATTTTATTTTTTCTCTCACAAAAGTAAAAAAAAAAATACATCACAAACGAGAATTTTTAGTCCCAGGTTAAAACAGTCAAAAAAACAAAAAAATCAAAAAGTCAACCAACATCATAAACGAAGGCTAAAAAGATGTGAAAAAAAATAAAGACAATAGTTAACTTTTTTTGTAATAATTTTTTAAACTATTTTAGGCCTCATTTGGGGACTATATATTTTAGTCAAAAATTGTCATATCACTCTCTCTATTTTTCTGTACATATTTTTATAAAAAGTTAAAAATCTACTAAAATAATTTATTTCTAAACAAGGCCTTAATATCTTCCCAAAACGGCCCTACGTCTGGATTAAGAGAAGGACATGACTTGAAATTGAAATTATGAATTTGATAAAAAAAAAAAAAACTTTATTATTTGAGCAACACATATTAATGTATATATTTTTATTTATCATTATTCTTATTATTACTTTTTTGAATGGTGCGCGTATCGCATGTGCAAAACGCTACTTGTTATTGAATTTTAATGCTTTCCTCTTGATTGTTTCAATTAATGACTTAATTTAAATGGTCATAATTCAAAACAATTAGAAATTTTAAGATTGAGCCGGTAGATGAGATTTA